AGAAGGGTCCCGAACCGAAACGTCAACCTTCCTGCTCCTCTGATGCTGCCTGGCCTGCTGTGCTCCTCCAGCTCCACACTGTTATCTCTACACAAAGAAGGGTTGCTGAAGCACAGAATGTTTTACACATTGAATGGTTAAGGCAGAGTCTATTCCACTTATTAAGGGTATACTCAGTAAATATCTGAAGTCAAAAAAGATATGGGGAAAGAGACCACTGTTCTTCAACTTGAGAAGGTGCAGAAAAGATTTACAAGAATGTTGCTGGGACTGGAGGATTTGAGTTATATGGAGAGGCTGAATAGGCTGGGGCTTTTATCCCCCGGAGCATTGGAGATTGAGGGGTGATGTTATAGAGGTTTATAAAATGATGAAGGGCATGGATATGGTGAATAGCCAAGATCTTTATCCTAGGGTGGGGAAGTCAAGACTAGAGGGCATAGATTTGTGGTGAGAGGGGGAAAAATTTAAAAAGGACCTGTGGGTAACATTTTCATGCAGAGGGCAGTGCATGTATGGAACAAACTGCCAGATGAAGTGGTGGAGGCTTGTACAATTACAACATTTAAAAGGCATCTGGATGGGCATATGCATAGCAAGGGTTTAGTAGGAAATGGGCCAAACGCTGGCAAATGGGACTAGATCAGATTGCAGACATGTTGGACTGAAGGATATGCTTCTGTGCTGTATGACTCTATGGTAGTAGCATTTGTTTGGCATTGCTTTTAATGAAAATAAAAATTGGTTGTAAGATTTTGTAAGTCAAAGCCTTTCTTGTTATAATCACGCAAGGTAGTCATACAAGCTCTTGTGGATTATCTACTTATGCCTTTTTGAGTCAACTGAACAGATCCCCATGCAACTTTACATGTAACTTGAATACAGTCATATTTGGTATTGGAGCACAGACCTCATTCATAATGTTGTAGGCTTTACCGCATTCTAGCTCTTTAGCAAAATCTTTCAGGTGACATATTAAACAGAAACACTGCCTAAGTAGAACAGTAAAAGGCTATTATGCATTACTGTGCCAGCTGTTTTGATTTTGTACAGAAACCTGAAGGGTTTCTTCACCAGAAGGAGAGGCAGTGGCTGCCCAGATTCACAGGTGTTCTTATGGAAGTTTTGAGAAGGAGGGGTCACCAGACCCGAAACATTAACTCTAACTTTTTCTTCACAGATGCTGCCAGACCTGCCGAGTTTTTCCAGCAACTTCTGTTTTTGTTCCTGATTTACAGCATCCACAGTTCTTTCAATTTTTAAACAGGTCTAGCTGGTATTGTCATAACCCAATGTTTTATTTCTTCTCTCACAGTAAATGACCATTGCTGCCCGTGGTAGTGATCTGCATTCCTGAAATAATGCAGCTCATCTTGTGTAGATGATGTTAGGGAGTGCCAGAGTTTTGATCCAGTGTTAGTGAAGTATTGGCAATCTAGTTCCAAGTCAGGATGGTGTGTGGCTTAGGTGGGAACTTGTAGGTGGCCTTTCCATCATAAGGCTCCAAAATACCCAAGGGCAGAGGGTGAATCTGTCTGGAAAATGTCCAGAAAAATTCAATCACAGAAGTTAGCTGATCAGAGAAAAGTCACCCTTGTAAGTAGAAGAGACAGAATTGTTGAGGAGCTGATTCTTTCACATATGCTGCAAATGGGCTTATCAGTAGGAAAGGTATAGCCTATGATTGCAATGAGCTCTATTATCTGAAGAATTTGAAACAGTACAGAACACAACACTGCAATTATCTGCAAACATCCCCACTTCTGGACCTTATTATGGATGGAGCAGTTAAATATGCAGTTAGGAATAAGCCAAACTGCAGAGCACAATATTGCTTGCTTCAGACTCATATCATACAATCCTTTAAAAAAAGTTTTGTCCTGTGGCTCAGTGCCTTGGATAGTAAACAATAAATTGGCAGAAGATTATACAAAGTTTTATTCTATTTTATTTGCCAAATTATTCTATTTAATACATTCACAGGAACATTGAATTAGGTTTCAGTTAAGACAAACAATAACATGCATTTAATCAATCAAAACTTCAACAGCATTTAATTTTAACACGATTCAACAAGAAATACAATAGTAAATACACTCTTGAACCTAGCAGGATTGAATTATTAGACAGCATAGACAAAAAGGATCAGCAAAACAAAACACCAAAATAAATGGCGGAACTATCTACAAAATGAAAAGAAGCTAGTCAAATCCTATTTCAGCAAAGGCAAATTGAGAGCATTCACTCTTACTCAATTCATTCATAAATCAGTAAGTGGTACCACACGATCTTGAGTACAACAAACTGAACTCTACAAATCCGTTAGATGATGTGGAAATGAACTGTGCCAATAAACAATGCATCCTGGTGGCTTTAGAGGATGGTCAAACCTGCAAACCTGGGTGTCATGTGCATTCTCCACAACCTCATAACTCAGCCCTGAAAATCTACTGTCTCAGGTACATTAGTACAAAAGCAAAATACTGCAGATGATGAAATTCTGAAGTAGAAAATAGGCAGATGACTAATCATCTGAAATATTAATTCTGCTTTTGTCTCTGTAAATGCTGCCAGAACTGCTATTTCCAGTATTTTGTTTTTAATTCACCAGTTTGTCACATTTACATTTCAAAATTGCAAATTTAGACAGGGCTGTTATGAACATATTAGTGCATAAATTCTCAAGCAGGACACCAATATTTTATATTAAAAAAGTTACACATAGCATCTCAAAAAATACCAGTGTGACCCCAAACAAACATCTGAACACCTTTTGTCTACTGCACCTTTTACACTCCCATTTTTCATTCTATGTTTATTTATCCACAATTTCAATGATGTTAGTCTCCTCAGAATACATTAACCAAACAGTTTCAGTTTTTATGTTAAACTATTTAGCCACAGGATTAGGCATTACTGGCAGGGTCAGAATTTAATATCGATATCAATCACCTTCTTCAACAATCGTTGCATGTGGCAATTGTGTAGGAATACTGACCACACAGTTATGAAGGAATGGCAATATTTATTCAACTTAGGCTAATGTCTAATTTGGAGATGATGTCATTCCCAGATACCCACCACCCTTTTCCTTCAAGATGTTGGAAGTCACAGTTTTAGGGGCTTTGCTGAACAAGCTTTGGCAAGTCATTGGAGTGCACGGAATATGTGAAACACATTACAACCAGAGTATGCTGATAGTGGGAGGGCAACTAATTCCTTAGTTTACATATAGCAATTTAACATGAATTTAACACATTTAGTAGTTTTTTTTAACAATTCACAATTTTGTTCAATGCTAGTCCTTAAAAGGTTAGCTAGAAACTCAGTACACCCTTGCAAATAAAATTAATTTCTTTGGGCTGCTATTGTTAGTCAAAGAAAAATTGAGTGTTTTTCCAAATGCAATTATTTCTGTTGCTCAGATATGCTAATAAAATTCTACTGTAATTATAGATTGATGTATTGCAAAATAGCATTTTATAATCTTTGTCAAACAAGTTGAGAAACTTAGAATTTAAGCCAAGTATTTGAATTGAGAAGTCGAGTTGTTATTTATTTCAAACAAATCAATTATAAATACCCTATTAATTAACATTATCATCATTCCAAAGAAAACATAAAATGCTGATCTGTAACATTTAAATACTACAGTTACCATGAATCTTTAGTAGTATTATTTAAATAAACATTGTTTGTTGATGATAAAAAGTGATTAGAGAAACTTTTTTTTAATTTTTGGAAATACCTTGCATCTTAAATAGAAATCACATGGAGGATGAAACTTATCTAAAGTACAAACTGATTATGCAAAGGATTATATTTTTAAATATGCAAAATGCAAAAGTTCACGTTGTTATTGACCACGAGGACCCTTGGAAATGTATAATTGTATCAATAAGATGCTTACTGAAACTTCATCTGGTATTTCAATTAAATCTGTTATAATCAGTAACTTTAGAAGTGTATGCATTACAAAATCAATTGAGCAAATGTTAACAACATTGTTTGTTTGCCAATTCAAACAAAAAAATTCTGTTCAAATTTATTTTTTTCAAAAAATTAAGGAAGTTGGTGCCATTTAACATTAATATTGCACAGTTGAGATCATTGTTGTAAGGCAAACTTTGAACTGTTGATTTCAACTACATCCATCCAACTGATCAAAAAATTACAATAAATTGATACATTTATGAAAACAAGAACCGGGTGTGACAGTGGTCCTTCATGCATCCAATATTTTGATACTGAATTTAAGCATTGTGTAAAAAGAAACAAGCACATATTGCAGGTACCAGGATCAGTTTCTGAAGATTTCTTTGTGACACAATAATACTGTGCTACAAATCTGCATTATTCTTACATGTTATTTTAAAATCACAGTGTTTAGGTATTGAAATTTTTGATCCATTACAAAACTAAGGCATTTAACGACACATCTTCAGCAATTGCATAGCACAGGTATTGAGATACAGTTGAATTCCAAGGGCAAATTTTAAGCAATTTATGATTGATGTGTTTCTCTCTTTAGAAAGAAGAGCATGTTATTATTTACAAAATACACAAGTGCAGGTCAACCATGCAGCCTGAAGATCAAGCTATTGCAACTCAATCCTTTGATTTAAATTGTAGCTATATCCAGTTTAATTTTACTCCACATTAGGGATGCAGCATACTGAAAAGGGAATATCAACTCTCACTAAAAACAAAAATTTAATAGGCTTCATACAAATGCATTTTTCAAAAACAGACGGCTTATTTGTTTTTAACTGGAAAGTAAAAACATTGTTGAATTTATATACTTCTGATTATAAATGCAAATTGATATTGCTCTATTTGCTTTACGGCCCTCACCCATTTCAAACACCAGTGATGTTTTTAACTATAATTCTCAATCCCTATAATTAACGTGTGATACTTTAGGTTTAAACTATATTCAAGACAACGGTTGATTACGACAATATTCAGTACTATCAATTAAAAGTTAACTAATGACATGTATCATCAATTTCTGGATATACTGGGGACACGTTGTTACATAATTCATTTGATACAACCAATTGAATCAGCTTTTGTGGGATGAGGACAGCCATGATGCATACAGTGTTACATTATTTTATGGATTGATTGATTTATTGATTTGAATAAGGGCATTGCAAATAATGCACTTTTGGTTTGCCTTAACTAAAACGTACAATTAACTTCCTTAACCTTGGTCTCATTCACTGGAAAGTGTATAATATTGATTCATTATTGTATGATGTAAACAAACTATAAAATATTGGAGCCACTATCAAGTTGGGCCAGAATAAAATCGTAAAGTTTTTCAAAATTTCTTTGCTAAACCTTGGAAGAAGCATTGAAGTAATTATAAACCACTTACCAATCCCCAATTGTGTTTAAAAAAATAGCCAGTCAACCTTACTTCAATTTCAGAAAAATTGACATATATTCAAATAGATTAAACTCTTTTACTTTCATTGAGTATTATTTGGCATTACTCAAACTGCACTTTGAAGAAGTATAATTGCTCATACAGAACTTTTCTACCCATAATGCATTTATACAAGCCAATTGTCTGACTCTCAAAAATTGTGGAAGGATTCTCAACTGCAGTGCGCAAATGTTTGACAAAATATTTCCAAACAGGCACACAACATGTCAAAAATCATTGTCAGGTCTGTGGGTCAAGTCTTTAACAATAACATTCAATTATTTTACCTTCAAAATCATCTAGTACTTTTCTATGTTATTTCTTCAACACAGCTGGATTTTTAGGGGAAAGCAATAAAGCCAGGGGGATAACATGCTAGCATGGTAAATGTGTAATTTAACGTTTTCTCAAAATTCTCTCTGACATGCGCAGCTTATTTCTTGCATTTCTGGGTTGCTTTCAAGATTACTGCATGACTGCACAAATTAAACAGTCTGTTGCTTGTGCGTGGCCTGTTGTTCCATGAACTATGCATTTCAGTGGCTACACAACTGCACACAGCAGTGTGCACAGGGAACACAGGAGGCTGATTTAAAGGCAATAGATATAAATACACAATCAAATAAAAAAATAAAAAATCAGGGTGCTCACTTTCAGCACTCCATATTAATTATCTATGAAATGGTTTGCTTGCAGTTCAAGGCCCAGTTGTCTCAGCTAGTCAGCTGATATGCTAGAGATGAATGGACTCCAAGAAAAATATGAACGGATTGAAAACAATCAATCAAGTAACACCCAGGGGTCTAAAGCTATCAATATATTTGCCATGATATTTTAAAATATTATAATCCACTGCCTTTCCATAATGTTGTTCCTAACAAAGCATATATTGTTTGAAATCTTAATAATGTAATGAAATACTAAACCACCTTTATAGCATTCATTACTATTCAAAGTATAAGGAAAACTCTTTAATTTTCTTTGAAAAATCTAGCTAAATTAATTACATAATTTAATAATATGAACTTTAATCTTCTTGATAGCATTAAATGTGCCTGAATAATTCTTCTAAATTATTAGAAATAGTGCAAAGCATGAGTCACAAAAGCTATATTTCATGCATTGAACTGCTATTCAATATTCCCATTCATCCGTTTTCATGTCTAGATAATTCAGAATATTCTGAGCAAATTTCACTGCTTGTTTTCTGGCAACCTTAGCACCATCATTCCCTTGAGTCTCTACTGCATCGAGTGCTAGGAGTTGCTTTGTGAGCATTTCTTCCAGTCTCACATAATTCTTGTCTGTTCTGTCTCCATCAAATGACAATACCTGCTTTTGAAATTCTGACAAATCACTCAGGACCTGCCATATAGCCTTCTGTGAAGGATGTTCATCTCTAAGCTGTTCTTCCATGTTTTCTCTCTTTGCAAGTGTCTCTTTAAGGTCAACATAAGCTATTACTGCCTGCACATCAACTACGGCTCTTCTCCTAGCTTCACGGATACATGGATTTTTGCCAATGTCTACTTTATCTAATTCAGTGAGAAGACTTTGCAGTTCTCCTTTTGGTTTTAAATGGAGATCCGAGGCATTTTCTAGTTGCAGCAGCTGTTGTTTTAAATGCGTTGTCTTCTGACCTATTTCTTCTATCTGTTTGATGGACTGATTTTGTGCTAGATCGTAACTTCCTGCAGCCTCGCCTTCTGATTCCATCTCCAAATGTTCTAGTAAACAATTGATTTCATGCACTACACGTTTCCGATAGTTTCTTGCTTCTGAGTGTCCAGCCACATCAATCGCATCCAATTGCATTAACAATCCTGTGAGGATACGGGAAAGATGTGCACAGTTCTCCAAGGTATTCAGGTTCATAAGCAGGCCAATTACATCCCATCTTGCTTTGCTAACTTCACATAAAACAGAGTTGATCTTGGGAACAGAAGGGTGTGTATCTGCAGACAGAGGCAAAGCTAATGCTTGCCGACCAATACAATTTTCAATGATGTCTTGCAGTGCACAAATCTTGGTCAAAGCTCGATATCTAGCTTTCCTCAAGCTAATTTTTCCTCCTGTTTTCACCTGTGTCAGTTGAAAGATAATTTCTTGGATGCGCTCAGCAAATTCCTCAGTTATCAAACCCCCAGCTGAAGATAATTCATTCGTTACCAACTGTTGTGCATCACTGAAGACCTTTTCCACCTTCAGGCGAGATGGGTGAGTTGCAATTTGTTCTAACTCTTTGAGCAGCCCCTCCACATCGTTTACTGCACTTTTGCGGCCATGCTGAATGTCAGGCTTGCCATCAGTGTCTACTGCATCTAATTCAAACAGCAACTTGGTCAAGGTGCTCTCCAGGCGCTTGTATTCTCTATCAGACTGTGTACCACTGAACGAAACTACAAGTCGTCTAGCTTCATTGATTTCCTTCTGAATTTCTTGGATTCTAATCATGGAAGGATGCTGTTGACCCATGGCCATATTCCCTTTTTCCCTAATGAGTCATAATGTGTCTGAAATTAAAGCAAAACATGTTGGTCAGGTGTTACTTCTTGGAATCAGACCTAAACTCTATTTATTATTGCCTCCAGAATTCAAGTATTGTTAAGTGGAAGATCTGTAAATTGCCTTCTACTCTATCTATGCATTTATTAAATATATTAATGCATGTTCTTTGTTTAGACAGAAATCGTGACACAATTAATTAACCTAGCATTTGACTTCCACATGGCAAGGCAAAATTCTGAGGCAAGCCCACTGTGGTAACACAATCTAGATTTTGCAGTGACTTTGAGTTTTTAAAACGCCACAAATACTTTAGAAAAATGTCGCTTTTAAAATTATTTAAAAGTAAATTGGCTGCGCTCAACCTTAAGAATGTCTGAGTGTTATTTAGACTGCAGTAGGCAACACAAGTATTGATCTCTGCCTCCTATCCTTTATACAGCCTACACACAAAAGTTGCCACCATCTGTATAACATCAATTTTTAAAAATTAATGCCATTAATGCAATCTCTGTTTCCTGAAGGTATTTATCAAATACTTGTGAAAATGCATAATTATACATCACCTTCAATCCTCTTATTTTCAAACAACCCAATCAGGTTAGATGGATAGAATTACTGTCTACTAACAATAAAGCTAAATAAGGAGCTATAACCTCCTCCTCTCTAACTATATTTGTCAATGTTCCATTCATCACTCAGATTGTTCCCCAGCAGAAACCAGTACAATTCACCTTTCATCTCCAAACCCTATCAGATAAGATCACTGAATATCATTATTTGTCACTAGTCATCATTTACATAAAACTATTTGGACTCAGAAATTACATTAGATTATATAAGATAAACTCCACAGAAACAGGCCATTTGGTCCAACTAATCAATGACGATCTTTATGGTCCACTCAAATCTCCCAACATCTTTTCTCATCTAAATGTACCATCGTTACAATCTATTCACTTCCCCCTCAAACATTTGACCAGATTTTCTTTAATCACTTAAGATATGCTTCAACCACTCCCAGTGATAATGAGTTTGAAAGTCTTGATAATATATGAGTGAAGAAGTTTCTTCTGACTTGCATATGGGTTTCCTTGGTGACTAGTTTTTAAAATCGATGGTCTCTAGTTCTTTGGGAGAGGAAATAATCTCTCTGTATTTACTCAATCAAAACCTTTGGCATTGTTTAAGACCTCTAACAGATCACACTTAGCCTCTTTTTCCCCCAAGAGAGAAAAGACCCAGGCTGTCAATCCTTTCTCGATATGTATGCCTGTGTACCCGGCATCATTCTTGCAGAGATTCTCTGCATCCTCTGAATAAGACATGACCAGAACTGGAAGGGTGGTCTAATTGGGGTTTAGCATAACGTTCCTACTCTGTTTCATTTCTAAATGAATAGAATTGAATAGAACTTGGTTCTGAAGAAGTCATGTCTGACTCAAACGTTTACTGTTTCGCTCTCCAGAGATGCTGCTAGACCTACTGAGTTTCTTCAACACTTTATTTTTATTTGTAATCTCCAGCATCCACAGTGCACTGATTTTAAGGGCTTAATGTACTTTGAAAAACAAATGATGTTGCTAATCTGAAGTGTAAATATTAATGAATGGTTTATTTTGCTGCTCTACCCAATAAATAATAAGTGGCTCCCCTGTTCTTCTGCGCAAAATATACTACCTCATATTTTCAGGCAACTGTGTTGAACTTCAATAATCAATTACCCATTCTACATATCTTTGGTAACATGGGGCTGCTTTCCTCAGCCTCAAGATCCTGCTTTTTAAATTTAATTCCTAATTGCATTTCATCAGGAACTCCTCCATATATCTATCCAGTCATTTTATACATGCTCCAACACTGAACATAAAAACTGGATAGAGACTAGTGCCTCATTGGCTGCTGTGAGATATCCTTTCTTCTGACACTTGTAAGCAACATGGCAAAGAGTCATACAACATGGAAACAGACCTTTCTGTCCAACTAATCCACGCTGAACCATGTTCTCAAAGTAAACCATCTGCATGCTTTTGGACCATATCCCTCCAAATCATTCCTATTCATGTACTTATCCAAATATTGTTTAAATATTATAATTGTACCCGCATCCACCACTTCCTCTGGCAGTTCATTTCACATACAAACCACTTTCTGTGTAAAAAGTTACCCTCATGTCTTTTTAAAAATTTTTTTCCTCTCACCTTAAAAATACCACCCCTAACTTTGAACTCACCCACTTCAGGGAAAAAACCTTTGCAATTCACTTTATCTATGTCCCTGGTGATTTCATAAATCTCTATAAAGTCACCAGTTAACCTCCTACGTGCCAGTGAAAACAGTCCCAGCCTATTTTTATAACCCAAACCCTCCATTCCCAGCAATATCCCAGTAAATCTGTTCTGAACGCTCTCTAGTTATTGATATCTTTCCTATAATGGGGTGACCAGAACTGCACACAGTACTCCAAACAGGGCTCACCAATGTCCTGTACAACCTCAACAAGATATTCCAACTCCTATACTCAAAAGCTCTGAGCAATGAAGGCAAGTGTGCCAAATGCCTTCTTAACCACCCTATGTATCTGAACCCCTAGGCCTGTCTTTTCTACAACACTACCCAGGGCCTTACTATTAACTGCATAAGTCCTGCCCTTGTTTGTTTTACCAAAATGCAATATCTCACATTTATCCAAATTAAACTCCATTTGTTACTCCTTAGCCCATTGACCCAAGTGACCAGGATCTCTTCATAATCTCAGATAACCTTCTTCGCAGGACACTACACCACCAATTTTAGTGTCATCCACAAACTTACTAAACTGTGCCTCCTATATTGTCATCCATATCATTTATATAAATGACAAACAGAAATGGACACAGGACCGATCCCTATGCAACACCACTGGTTACAGTCCTCCAGTCCAAAAAACAACCCTCGAGCACTAACCTTTGTCTCCTACCTAAAGCCAATTTTGTATCCAATTAGCAAGCTCATCCTGAATCCCATTATGATTTAACTTTTCTAATTAGTTTACAATGTGGAAACTCATCAAAGGCTTTATTTAAGTCCAAGCAAACAACTTTAGAATACTCGTTTTTAGCCTCAAAAACACCATCTATCATCACAATTTTAGAGCATTATTATTACTACATTTGTATTCTGGTCCCCGCAATCTGGTCAGCCTTCTGAGCAACAATGCCTTGATTTACACTGTGGCCTAATTCCCTCCCCTGCTGTTATCTAGAATGGAAGTTGTACGGGCATCATCACATAAGGGAGATTAGCAGTTTCTGAACAGTTTTATCCAGGATATGGTAGGCAGCAATGTACTTTAAAAAAAAGGAGGGTGTCACTGTCAGGTAGCTGGGAATGGGGCTTTAAGGGATTTTGAGAAGGAGCTTCTTCAGATACTGGTTCTGTCATAACACGCATGATAGCAAGTGCTGGATATCTCCCGCAGTCATGCTAGCTCTGGACAGTCATGCCACTGACAAAATCCCATGTTGTGTAGTTCAGACTCAATTCAGAAGAGCAGAGAAAATGAAATGACTTGAAAACAATCAGAAAATGCTGGAAATGCTTAGCACACATCAGACAAAGTCATTCATCTGTTTTTCTCTCTTCACATGTTCTGCCAGATCTGCCAGCATTTTGTCAAATGCAAAGGAATTGTGTTGAACTTGAACAGAACCTTAGTTAAATCACATTTGACGTACTGTGCACAATGCTAACCTCCAGAATTAAAGTACAGAGTCCTGGAAAAATGTTTTTCAAAGAAAGGTATACTAGATCCAAGAACTAAGCATGGTAACAGAAAATAGAAAAGCTACAAGAAGACTAGAAGACATAAAAACAAAGCCAAGCATCAAATACGCTTTGAATGTGGAATTATTTCAATAAGACAATGTTAGGGGCACACTAACTGAATGCATGCAGAATGTGCAATAAGGTAGATGCTCTAAAGGCACAAATACATAAGTACAATATAATTACCACTACAGAACATGACTGCATGACATTTAAGGATATTTGACATCTCAGAATTACCGACAAGAAGGAAAAGGGTGTGGAGCTCCACCAATAATAAAGAACGGGACCAATACATTACTAAGTAAGGATCCCGGATTGGAAGAACAATGTATGGAATCTACTCGGCTGGAGTTAGGAAACAGCAAGGGACAGCAGACACTGACGACTAAGAAGGTTTGGGAAGAATTCAGCAAAGGAGGGCAAAGATACCTAAAAGTAAAGGGAGAATAGAATATGAATGCAATCTAGCAAAATACAAAAAACAGGCTGTAAATGCTTCTAAAGACATGCAATTTGGCTAAGCTGAATGTGGGTCCACTACAGGCAGAATCAAGAGAATTTACAAGAAATAGGGAAGTGGCTAAATTATTACTGTATGTTCATTTTCACCGAAGATACAAGAAATCTCCCAGAATCAAGATCAATAACTAGGGAGAATGAGGACTTGAAGCAAGTTAGCATTAGTAAGATGGCTGTACTGGAGAAATTCATGGGGCTGAGAGCTGTTAAGTCCCTGGGGTCTGGTATTCCACATTCCAGAGTGGTGAATGAGATGGCTATAGAGGTAGTTGATACATTGGTGACCATATTCCACAATTCTATAGATTTTGAATTAATTTCTGCAGATTGGAAGCCAGCAGATGTCACCTCACTACTTAAGAAGGGAGCTAGAGAGAAAACAGGGATCTAAAGCCAAGTTAATTGTAGCAAGGAACGCTAGAATCCATCACAAAGGTTGTGATAAATAGACACTTGGATGATAATGATCTGGTTGGGCAGTTAGCATGGGTTTGTGAACAAAAAATCATGTTTGCAAACTTGTTGAGGGAATTACCAACAAAACTCACAAAAGGGTGATGATGGACGTAGTGTACTTGGATTTTCAGAAAGCTTTTGATAGGTCCCCTACAGGAGGTTGGTCACAAAATTAAACCACGTGGGATAGGACACAATGTACTGGTATGAATTAATAATTGGCTAACAGGTAGAAAACATAGTAGAAATAAACAGGTCATTCTTGCATTAGCATATTGAGACTAGTGGGGTACAAAAATGATCAGTACTTGGGTCTGAACTATTCACAATATATATCAATGGACATGGGGACCAAATGCAATATTTCCAAATCTGAGGATGATACAAGGCTAAGCAGG